GCATACAAATGGTTGGTCTCATATCACCATTCAGTATGGTTGTTCAGTATTGTCCAAATTGCCATACTTCCCATGCAAAAGATGCTTTGTTTGACTCCATTCCAATGACCAAATTGTAAAAACTCTGTAAATAGCTTTGCTAACCAACTCTGCATGGAGAAAAAGATGGCAGAGGAATAAGATATAGCTAAATAGCTAAAATGGATTCTAATCTATGTTCCACTGAACCTGGCCCTATTTTTTCCAATGCCATTGCTCTACTATCTTCTATGCTTATTCACTGCATTGAGTTCTGGAAAAAACCAAAGCTATTTAACATGTAAGAAAAGAGTTCTGGAACTGTCCCATCATTTCCATATTCCAGAGTTGGCTATGTTTACATAGAACCATCAACCGCTCAATTTCTGAAGTGTTTGGGTTAGTTCTATTTCTAACAAAACGTAATAGTAAAACCACAAGTTAATGGATTATTTGGAAAGAAGGAGGTTTCATTAAACCTGAATATCTGCTAAATCTCAGTATAGGTAATTGGCATATTTATGTCATTAGCATAATGACATAATTGATGTTTTTACATAATTTGCAACTATTTGTGTAATTGAATAATTGAAATTTTAAATCGTTTTCATCCATTCATGTCATGCAAATGATGTAAATTGATGCAAATGACATAAAAATGTCAATTACATCATTACACAAATTATGCATATTGAGGAAATTATATCAATTGTATGGACATACTTCAGAAACAATGGAATTTTCCGTCATTTGGGTGAAGGGGGAGTCCAAATACAAATTTGCTCAGTTGCAGTTGGAGGTATGTTAAAAGGAGGTTTCACGTAGGGACGTTATCTAACAGATTTCACCCTGATTGTGCAAACATTTTCTCTAAGTTACAATTCAAGTTTTGTGTATGATTTTTTTTTTCCCAGAGGAATGGGGAAAGCGAATAATTATTCATACTCACACTAATGAAATGAGAGAAGGAAAGAGGATGCTAGAAAAGGAGATTAACTTCTATGTGCTAAATCCTTGGTAAGAGACAGGCACTGAGAGAATCTACCTGTCTGAGAACTCATTGCTCTGAAACACTGAAGGCTGGCAGGAAATCCATATATGGTGGTGTGGCAGGTAACCTTACACTATGTTGATCTCTTATGCCAATACAATGATCATGTTAAACATATAAACCACTTTTTATACTACATATTGAGAAAGAGGAAGGACTTCAAGATTTGCTCATGATGTCAGCAGGAGCCAATCTAGATAATTAGTACAAATCATCTGCATGTCATCTCTTCTGTCATCCCTTCTGGCAGATGAAATCACTTATCTACAAGACACAGTGAGCAAGGAACTTACTTCTCTGTAAACATGCTTAGGCCCAAGAGACCCTGCTCCTCCAGTGCACTTCCTTGAACAATTAAGTGGAATTGAGGGAAGCAAGCTTCATTCTTGTCAGAAGGCTGATAAGTGGTATGGAAGATCACCCACAGTTCTGAAAGTATGGTCTCTGAATAAATTTTGTTTCAAACTGTCCTATCTTGACCTTCCAAAGAAGGATCCTGTACTTTCTGTTCATTCTAATCCAAGGTAGACCCAGAGGTTGCAACTAGTATTTCTCAAATATTTATTGATGAAATGGAAGACCTCCATCCCTAGGTGTGACAAGATATGTGATTCTGAAAATATCAGTAATCTGACAGGGGAAGAAGGAGAGAAAACCCTAAAATCATTCATTTTTTAATTTTTTTTTTAATCTTCAGGGTTAGAATGTTGCCTTTTTAAAAAAAATCATGGATAAAAATTAAGGGTGTGCTTTAGATGTGAACATTTAGGTGTTAGGAACTACAGACTTTTTATGAAAGTTCTAGAAAGATTTAATAATGGAAAACACTGTGCAGAGATAAGAGTGAAGATCGGAGGAGAAAAGAAGGGGAAAACAGTGCCTTTAAAGGGATTTTGCTTCAGGAAATATTCCATGTATATGTATAGGAAGTGGTTTGGTTAATTTATGATATGTTTTGTTTCCTTGCTGGGGATGGAAGCAAATCCATGTGCTCTCAAGCAGCAGATGCAATGATTAGTTCTCAGACTGATAAAGGAAGGTTATACAAATAACCAGCTACATTAGTGAAGACATCTGCCACATGTTACTATTCACACTAAGGCAGTTATGAAGAAATAAGGAAGTCTCTAACCTAGTGTACTGTAAGAATATATTGATTTTTAGATGGGGAATAGCTCAGTTGCCAGAATCCTTGTGACCTTATCCTTTTCTTCTCAATAAATCTTGCTAAAGAGACTCTTTGAGGATCATGCCTGGAAAATAATTACTTGGGGTTGAGGCAGATGCCAGAGAATCTGACAGCAGAGGAGCTTGGATACACAAGGGGAACTGGTATTTGACGAAGTGCATGCGTCCTTGAAGAGGCTCATGTGAAAGAGAACGTGAGCTCTGAAGGAGTTGACTATTATGATGAATTATCACTGGAGCTGGCCTTTGCCTAATTTAGTCTCATTGTACTTTGCAGAAACTGATCAGAAGTGGAAATAAATTCCAAACACATGCGGTATGATTTAATTTGAAATAAATTAATGAAACTCTCACCTTGTAAAATAGCTAAAAGGAACTGAAGGGTTCACTTCTAGCCAGGGATAAGTAAACAGTGCCTTATTCACACAAATACTGAGGCTATAAACTGGGAGTAGGCATTTCAGTAACAGGATTGTTAAGAAGCAGCACCACTATTTTCAACCATTTTGAAAAATGAAATAACATCTAACTAGTGGTATAAGTCCCAAATTTAACCTGAATACAGGGGGGAAAAAGATAGCATTCCTGCCCACTTCTGCCGTAAACCACTATTCACAAACCATTCTGGCTAGCTTTTTTTTACATCACACCAAGCTTAAACCAAATAAACTAAATTTAGGATTAGCATGATGTAAAAACCCTTTATATCCTTAAATGAGCTCAGGATCTATTTAATACACAAGCCATTTTTGCTACCCAAAAGCAATCTGCAATACAAGTTGCCTAATCACTATCATAGATTAGGTCATATGTTGAGGAATCTTAATTTTATACGGCAGAAATTCACTACTGAATTATTATTATTTTTTTGTAGGGGCTCAGAATCTGCTTTTTGTGCTATGTTTTTACTGTATTTAGAAAAAAGAACCTTGTGATAGTATAAACTACAATTTTTTTTATTAAAAAAAGACATTACCTAATATGCATATTACCAAAGGCAGTTTCAGAGCTGCATTCTGGTTTAGTAGCCTGCAATAACTTTGCGGCTGTGGCTTCTTGTGAAAACAACATGCTGCTGAAACTATGCTCTTTCTAATGAGTACTGAAAATGTGCAGTTAAAGAATAACCTTTTCTTGTTGCTTTTTCAATTATCAATGTATGAAAAATATGATTTGTTAAGTTAGATCTTTTCTTTCTCTTTGGAACAATTTAATTACATAGCCAAGATTATTGCCATTGTTGGCTGCATTCTGCCTGTTTCTGGAATCATGGAATCATTGTATTTCCCAAACGTGTGTCAACAAAATGATCTCTTATCAGCCTATAATTAGGTATTATAAAGAACGTGGGTCAATGCTCATTAATTTGGAAGAGGCAGCTGCTGCAGAATGTAGCATCTGGATATTGCGTATGCACATAACACTACTGAAGAAGCAATTACACTAGTTGTCCATTAGCAAAGTCAGGTTCAAAGTTTTGCTTCTGATACATTAGGACCTGAACAGCTTGACAGATTGCCTTTGCAATTACCAAAGAGTTTCACAGGTATTTGTGTGGATGACAAAATGTGATTTGTGATGTCACAATGCAAACCCTGTGACCTATGTACTTGGGCCTGACATTGGATTAAAGGTTGCAAATCATGGCATTTGTATTGTGGTGTCATCACACATGTCATCATTTTTTTCATCACTGTGGATAGTAGAAGAAACATCTGGAAGATCAGTTAGGGAGGTCCTGTGGCATATGCCAAGAACTACAGAGTTTCATCTTATGATACCTTGTAGGTTACTTCTTTGTGGCAGTGCCTGTATGCTCTCTGTACTGAACTTCTTCAGACATCTGTTGCTGTATTTACCCCAAAGGTGACTCTTCCCTCCACCCCCAAAAGAAAAGATCAATACAAACACAAATCCATTGTAACACATTCCCAGCCAAGCCAGCCCACAGCAGCTGCCCCACCTTATTAATTAGGGGTTGCTAACTCCAGCAGATACCAATCCTCTAAATCCCTCCCCTATAAATGTGTGTTTCTGAATTAACGGAAGTAATGATCACTAATTAAAGTTAACTTGCCTGTAAAATGAATTGCATTTATAAAATTCATTTATCAGCCATCTATCTACTGTTTCATTCTCACATGTGTGTGTACCCCCTTGCCCTATTCTACTTTGACCTTCCATCAAAAATAGCAAAATGGAAGGAGCTTGAATGGAAGAAAGAATATCTTTACTGGGAAGGGGAAAAAAAGAGAATGAATCATAGGAAGTGAATATCTGCCTTTAGACAGGAGAGATGGAAAAACTGCCACCATTGTTTTTGCCATTCCAAACCCAATTTTGTTTTCCTTTCATCAGTGCCTGCTCCCTTTAAATAACCCCCATATCGATTCTGCGAAATAAATTATTCAAGGATAATTATTGGAGGGGGGGAAATCATCTTTTTTTGAGTAAATATTTTACATCTCTTAGATACTTATTGGAGACCTCTCTTGTCAACCATGCCTCCCCATGTGAATACTGGATGAGTTATTTTGCTTGGGTTGTGTTTTCCTGCTTCTACTCATATTCCTATGAATATATTTCCTCCTGTTTTAATTTATTGCTTTTCTTGCTAGAATTTAGTAATTTGAGATGCAAATTTGGTATGTGAAACAGTGCACAAATACATTAAATACATTTATTCTGGTACTAAAAACATAATATATTCAAAATAGCTGCAACCAAAATAATAACAGCTTACTTGGTCCTCAAAGGAAAGAGCCTGGGCAACATCTCGTGGAAATCCGTCAATAACAATACCCTCCTCATCAGGAATTTGCATTAATCTTTGCTTTATCTCAGTAATTGTGGTTTCCTTGGACAGATAAACAAACAACAAAAAGGTATATATTTCTGTTTAAGAGTGCATTCTCAAAGGTTGCTGGAGAAAAAACACATAATTTCTCAATATGATTGGGAAGGGTTTTTTTGTTTTTTGTTTTTACCTGTGGGGCTAATTCCCCAGTTGTAATTATCTTAGCAATCAGACTCCACTTTCGATTGCTGCTTGTGCTGTGGATCTTCTTTCTTAACAATTCGCCCACAGAGATATACTCAAAGCCATAGCGTTCTGCTATTTTCAAGCTCTGGGTTCCCTTTCCACTACCAGGGCCACCTGTAAGGAAAAACAAAGGCCTTACAAAATTTTCTCAGATTCATTGCAGGCTTATCATCTTCATAACATCCTAAATGATCCTCCAAGTCAAGCACGTAGCAATCTTCAAATCATTAAGAACAGAGTTAGAATCCAGGACAGTTTTTCCCTAAACCAAGTGTCTTCAAGACATAGCAGAAGCCAGCACAACGGAAGTTGATTGGAAAAACAGCTTTAGACAATCACTGAGTGCACAGAGTAAGCTTTTGTGAAGCAGCCCATCAATCTCCCAACTGCTATGGTACTTTTATCGTAAACACCGTAGCACAGAAATGAGACCATTGTTATCCTCTAGCCTCTCAGTTCTCTATTCATCTAACCACCGGCAGCTATAGCTGGTGTAACTTTTCTTCCCCCTAACGATAGGAAACTTCAGTGGCATTGTATAAGTTGATATGTTAACAATGCAATCCATCTGCTAGGAGTTGTTGCTGAACTGTAACTCCCAGAATCCATCTGTGGGGCAGGCGGGGGGGGAGGGAGTTGTGACACAAGTTCCATCCCTTTTGTACATGCATGAAGATGCACACTTGTGTGAAATGGGTAGAGCTTGTATCCTGCCATCACAACAATCATCTCATCATTTTAATGAAGCTGTCACATTTTGCAGATGCTTCTGCCACTGCCCATGTTTGCTTAGGATGACGGTACTTGGATTTCCACATCTAGGCTTCCTGGTGTAATAGTAAGGACACTGACAGAAGATTATCCAGCTAGCAGAGCAGAATCAGGTCTGTGATTCCTCCAGACCAGTACATACTGGACACACAAAAACGAAGAGTAATAAGGAATAGATTCCAATGGTGCCAGTGTCCTAAGCTTGTTTCTTCATCCTCTTAGATTTAACTGCCAGATTAGATTTTATCTTTCTCTCAGTTCAGTCTACATGGATTCAGCTCTATTTGTAACCGTGTGTTTCAGCTGAGGTTTATCATACAAAATTTAAGCAGCACACTGGAGTCTTCTACAACAAAAGATCTGACATTACTGGACTTCATAGTTAAAAGCCACTGCCGATCTAAGAATAATATTACAGTTTCTTGTGGTCTGCCCCACTCTTTGCTTTCCTACCTATGACAAGGATGATTTTTGGCCGGGGCCTGGTCGGATCAAACACATCATATTCCTCAATAAGTTCAGCTGTTTCTGAGAGATCTGTGTCACTCTCAATGGAGAACTGGTGAATTGGAGGGAGTCGATCGTACCTCCGGTAAGGAAAGTTGGGATTGTCAGGCATCACTGGAAAATATGAAATGGTAATATCAGAAATGAGAGCCAGTTTGATAAAGCAGTTAAGAGACTAAGCTAGAAATCAGGAGACCTAAGTTCTAGTCCTGCCTTAGGCATGAAGCCAGCTGGTGACCTTGGGCCAGTCCCTCTCTCTTTCAGTCCTAGGAAGAAGGCAATGGTAAACCATTTCTGAAATCTTGCCAAGAAAACTGCATGGACTTGTCCAGGCTGTTGCTAGGAATCAAGATTGACTCAAGAGCACAAAAAACAAAAAAAAGACAAAACACAAAACTATATCTTTTTATGTTTTTCAGTAATGAATATCAGAAATATTTTAATGTTTTAATAAATACATAACTGTTATCATGAAATCCTGTTTAAACTGCCTCTTTACAAATCTTTTAATACACTCAACCAATCTATTAAAGAAAAACTTTTACACCTTCAAGTGAAGCTGGACTCTTAGCAATTACCTAGGTGCTTCCATACAGTTTTCTTGTAAATCATACAGAAGTTAAAAACATTTTTAAAAAATCTTTGCTGATGACACTAGTACCTAGTTTAATATCACAGAGAGTGGGTTCACCCAACAAGCTAAGCCAAATTGTGAGATTTAGAATGTTATACAAACTCAGCCAGTCATTTAATTTATGGTTTAGGATATTGTAAAAATCTGTGCAGCTGTGTTAATTCAATAAACTAGTGTTAAATAAGCCATAAGTAAGCCATGGTTTGCATGTTGAATAAATACAACCAGCAAAACACTCTATGAAACTCATGCTGTGGGAAAACAGGCTATTCCTTTAAGAACAGCTTATACAGTATTTATTCACAGAACCAGTTCCAGTCAATGATAGTCAGCAGAAGATCAGAGAGCAGGCTGTTATACAGTACTTTAATTAATGCCAGATGATTCTAAAAACTACTTTGGTAAGATGTAAGTCTTCAGTCATGAACCAGCTATATCTAAGCTCCTCTCTTGAAGAAGACTGGGGAGGAGAGCTGTTCTCTGGAACACTCCATTCTTATGAGAGATCACAGGAAATTAGCATGGGACAATCCCCAAAGAGTTCCTTTCAAGATAGGTTTCATCTGCTCCTCTATAATCCCTTCAATCTTAGTCCACACCCTGCTGAGTTTCCTGATTCCTTTCCCACCTCCTAAACTCCCTGGAAATCTGACAGATGACCTTGATGGAAATCTCAGAGCCACCAAAGAACCCTCTGCTAGACAACTAGACAACAAAGAACCCTGACAACTAGAGAATCCTATCATGAAGGAATTACTTGGGAAGAAAGGGGAGATATGCTTTATAAATTATCTGTTTTGTGACTAGAACATCATAGGGTTCAAACTTCTAAGTGGATGGTTTCTTGCATACTCTTGGTTTCACAAATAGATGACCCAGAATGATTTCTATGCTATCTTAAGACAGCACTCTGGTTTCATTTACTTGGGAAGTTGATGTCTATATGGTTAGCAACATGTATGCATTTTTAGATAAGCCTTGTCATTTAGCCACTTGCCTGCAGGAAACAAAAAACTGTTCGTAGTAATCTGTTATTCAGAGTTTTGAATGACTTGAAGTGCCTTTCACATTGATAGGTAAAGAGACGAATATACATGCTAGTTAATAAATGTCTTACAGCTATTTGAAAGTTCAATTTTAATTTGATTTTAATGTATCTTTTTAGAGTCATTTGATCAGACATTACATGGATGATTTAATCTAATTACTATCCGTAATGCATACAAAACATGAAATGGCTTAATTGCTTTTTAAAAAATGAAGAAATCTTTTATGGTTATATTCACAATAATTAAAAAATCTGTTATTTTTCTTACAATATATTAGCCACAAACAGGGTTTTTTTTGGCATTATTTTAAACAATGGCCAATCTAGAGACCATCCTCTAGGTGATTTAAGTAATCGATATCAATTATATCATTATCGTGATTATGTTGATATTACTTTTCTGCATGTTAGTTCTGCATTATTGCTCAGCCTAAATATATTATTCTTTAAAATACAATTGTGGCAAAGTTAGAAAACAACATAGCCTTATGCTATTATTCCGTTTCTAATCCAATTTTGCCTAATCACTGATGCTCAAGCGATAGATTACAAAACTTTTTAAAATATTAAAAAGAATAAAATATATTCATTTTCATAAGAAAACAATCAAAGAGGAAGAACTGATAAAAATCACTACCCCAATGTCTGAGGGCATTCAGAATCAAAAACAAACTATAAAAATACTTGGGCAAAGAGGAATGTTTTAATCTTGGGCCCAAAGTATAGCCAAGTGGGAGTCAGTCATCTGCCCCAGCGAACACCATCCTATCTGCAGGGCCATATAACTGTGAATACAGTAATGCAACTGCCTTCTCCTTTATAACCCTCCCTCCCCAACTTCACTGGGTAGGGACACCTTGAGAAGGGCTTGGTCTTCCATGTTCAGTCCCGGTGAATCAGACAAACAGGTCTCAACCCAGCTCTTCATTGCAAAGTGCCAGACTCTCAGTTCTTTATTTTAAATGGAGGAAAAGTATATCTTTTGCCTCTGCATTCAGAAAAAAATCAAACCAGACAAATGTCAATGTTCTGAGTACAACGTATCAAAACTGGGAGGTTGGCTCACTGCGTACAGCATAGAGTGTAAGCCTCTTAATTTACAGAGAAGGACATTTTGGTTTATTCAGGGTTGCCAAGACATTCTTGAACATTGAATCTGAATTGAAATCACTATAATTTTTTGAACGGTAAAATCACTTCACCTGTTATTCAGGTAATAAGATAACCACAGAAATGCTGCTGTGGATCCCTCCCCTCCCCAGAATACCATGTAATCATTTCTCAGGTCTACCCATCTCCTTACCTGAAGCTGAAATGTGAAACTGTGACTTTAAAATTATCTTACCGTTCCTGAAAAATGCTCTTCTTGACTGGCTGCCATTAAGTGGAGGTAGTGACCTTTTTTCTGGACTGACAAAAGTGTCCCATTTTACTTTTTCTGCTCCACCCAATTCTTTTACTTTTTGTAAGCAGCTTTCCAGATACTCGACTGGATCATCAGGCTTGCAGCACATTAATCCATTCAGCAAACTCTGAAACATAAGAGATTGACAGACTACTGCAATTTAGTGAGGTTGAAAAAAATATATAGTCTATGGTCAAAGAATTCTGGATTAGCCCTAAATGGCAGCAAAGAGCTAGAATTTCCTGCATCACTGTGGAACCAACTAATGGTCATTGGTATTTGTGTAGATTAAATACGTGGGTAGCCCTACTATAGTCTAAAATTAAACATTTCCTGTCTTTTTCATATTTAAGTATGTACCATCACGCCATTCCTTTTAGGAGTAAGCAACATTGTGCAAAGCACAGAGAGGAAGTAAGAAAAGAGAAAAGGCCATGAGACAAGGAAGGAAAAGAAATATAGCTAAATCCAATTTACTCCAACTCTATTTACAATACCTCTCCTTATTTTCCTGTTCTCCGGAGCAATACTTGCTTCTATCCCACTCATACCCCATTTAATACATTGCTTTGATTTTTACTCTTCTTACTCTTCAATTTCATATTATGCCATTGACTAAGAGATATGAAAAGTACAAGGTCTAAAATTAAAGCGTGATTTATTATACATAAAAATTCCTGTTCATAAAGCTGTAACATATAGTTTGTGCTTGTTTTCATAATAATATAAATCATCTACTTTTCTTTAAAAATTGCTAACTATCTCATACTATGGAAGGGGCAATATTCAATATTTCCGTTTCAACAATTTGTGAACTGACATATTCAGAGGCTCACAGATGTAACCCCCTTTCAATTTAGTTGCATTTCCTACTGTTTTCAAAGTCCATGAGAGTGAATTATCTTAAGTCTGTGCTACATATGCATTATACACAGTAAGTAGCCTATATCCTAAGTTTCGTATGCTATGTATCGTAAATTATACTGCCAGATCCCCTAATGGTAAAATGGTGTAGACACTGGGAAATTGTAAAAGTGAATATTGTTGCTGTTTTCGGTGATAAATATTAATCTTACCTAATATACATTCCAAGTTCTATCTTGTTCTGGAATATATTTTAGGTCAGGGTTAGAAAATCAGATACTGTCCAGATGGTTTGGTTTCCAGTTATCAGCAGCAGTTCTGCTGGCTGGTGCAGAACTTCTGGAGATGGCCTGATTCCAGAAGGATATTACTTTGTGACACCTTTGTTTCAAATGGCATTATTGCATGAACTTTCATAGATCACTGTCTATTTTATTAGATGTCGAAAGGCCAGTTAGGAAAAATTATCTGTACATAATGGCCAGTAAAAATGTTGTAGAGTGTGACACAGACACAACTTGGCATTAATGAGCTGGTTAACAGATGTAGCGTTGTATCATATCCTCTCCCCTTGTTCCTCTTCCTTTCTATTTCACTTCTTCACTAGTATACTACACTTAAGATTCATGCTCTGCTTGGAAATGCAGTTTACTGAAATATGATCTCATAATGAACGTATGTCACTGATGTCACTATGCTCCTGCTCTATTCTTGAAGATTTGAATCTTTTACATCAATGAAAATTATATGGTATTTTCTATTTGTTTAGCAAAGTTTTACAGCACACAGCAGCATGGTAAATGAAAATATGGTATAACTATTTCTCAAGGGAGACTTTGGAGAGAAACTTTTTGTTCTGAACTGGGTTCAGGAATTTTGGTAAGGAATATGTGGGACGTTTCAAAAATTCCATTCTGAGCCATCCATAATACACATCACTTTATTATGAACAAGCCTTTGAATATTCTAAAAGTAAAATAAGTATGACAGTACATGATACAGATCGCCAAGATCTGCAGTACTTAGAAAACAGTAGGGATTACAGCTATGGGTCTAAATTATTCTGCATTTAGATACTTATTTTTTGTGGAATGCTACAACTGAAAATATGATAGGTTCTAAGGTCTTCATAATAATATAAATTTTCTATATACAGGATTTTTTTTAATTTGGAGAGAATATTCAGTTATCCATACTTGTGTTCCAAGATAATACTTCTGAATATTTGGATAGTTTTTAAATATATTCAGAATCATAGACAAGAATACTTTTTAAAGGTAAAGTCTTGCTATGTATGTTACACAGCCAGAAGTAATTGATAAGGCTGGAGGTTTTTTTCCATGATAGTTATTATCAATTTGATGTAACAATATAATATGAAAGTTAACTGCTACTGAAAATTAGAATACAGTTTGCCTATTTTTTTAAATGAACAATATCAATGATCTTATTTTTACATGGTCAATGTTTCTTGACCTCAGTTAAGTCAGATGAAGTACAGGTAGTCCTTGTTTAGTGACTGCCTCATTTAGTGACCATTTGCAATTACAAGGGTGATGAAAGAGTAACTTTATGACCAATCCTCACAGTTATGACCTTCACAGGTCTGTAAAACAAAGGAAAGCGGAAGTAAGATAATAAGTATAGTCACAGTTTCTCTTAGCAACCACTTTGCTTAACAACCAAGTTGCCAGTCCCAATTGTGGTCGCTAAACAAGGACTACCTGTACTTTGTAGATAACACTATCAGATTGAGGTATCTGGATAGGACATCAGCAGGAAATCCAAGGCTGTAAATTAGACTATAGCCTAATGTAGTTGGAAAACATCCAAGTACGTATCATTTCCACACTGTTGTCAAGAAAACAACATGGATATCAGGAATTGAGTCCCATTCGAGCAATACATTATTTATGAACACTTATTTGGAAGGAAGCCTTGTTAACCTCAATGATAATTATTTCTAATTACCAAAGATTGGACTGTAGCCCAACTTTCATTATAAATGCATGTGCTTAGAATTGCACACCCTAAGAATATATTAAAGAGTTATGTCTGAAGAATCAAGGAGTTGAAAATGACAATTGGGACAATTCTATTAGAAGCTGTTTGGAATAGCCAAAAGAACCTGTAAATAAATGTTGTAAATCAGAACTCCATGTAACATGGCATTGCATTGTCCAAGACTAATCTGAAGAAGACAGGCATTCCACTTTTTATATTCAGGTAGGAATACAAGATGAAAATGCTGTATTTTAATAATATGTCAACATTTGTAAAACAGCCGCTTTACATAACTGCTATTTCACTCTTGAGGTTGCAACAGTTTGCCTCCATCTCAGCTAAAAAAAACCCTTTGAAGCATATGGATTACATATTCTCATAGCACTCTTCGGAATCGTTAAAAAAAGCCTTTTAATGACAAAGTTCAAAATGTTCTCTCTCTCTTTTTTTTTAACTAAGAACACTGCTACATCACTGCTGCCTACATTATCTATAACATATCTTGCTTATGATATATAACAATAGCTGTTGGCTTAGGAAGAGAGAGACTGGATCTCTGCCACCAGCATTTCTGTTCCATGCCTGAAGACTTCAGGAACTTTAATTCATGAAGATGGAAAGCTCTGGCAGATTGAAGATCATCCAGAATGTCTATCTGAGTATTTCCCCTTCTATCTCAACCAGGTTTTGAAGCCTTTTTAACATGCAACTGAACAGCAGTTTTGAATGGGAATTGTATTGCATTTGAGGCATTTCAGCTACACTTCATCCCACAGACACCCAATCAGGAATGTAGCTGAAATGCCTCAAATGCATATCCAGATCACCAATAAACTTGGGACAAACATAAATGGAAGTCTGCGCAACAACAATTACATATCTGTGCAAGGAAAAAAAGTGGCACCTGCCTGTTCCTTGCCACTTTCTTTGTCTAAATCCTGCACAACCTGCTTTAAACTCATTTACAAACTATGTTAGTAATGAGAGAAGGACCATGATGTATCCCACTGTTATTCTTCTCCTAATACATTTCCCAACGTCAAAATCTCTCGTTTGCTAGAACCTAAAGGGTGTCACAGAATTATCCTAATTTTAAGTTTAAATCTTCATGATAAAATATCTATTTATCTTTTTGACCTTCACCTGTATTTTTCTCCTCTTCTTTTCCCTTTTCCCCCACCTGTCCTGGAAACCTAATTTCCCTTGTAGCATTTAACCTCATTTCTCTGGAGCTGATCGTTCTTTCAGATGAAATGTTATCTTCTTATCATAGTCATATGTAGAATGTCGTATCTTCTTGTCATAGTCTTCTCTAGAATGGAATTCCCTTGCCCTCTGAATCTTCTACGAACATAGCAAACTACCATATACGAAATCAGACCCTGCTTAGTATTTTGTACATGCAGTGGCTGACAAGTCTCAATAAATCCTTATACATGAATAATTTACAGTATGCATAGCAGTTATGAAATAGTCTTCTTAAACCATGAAATGAAACGGTTTTATGTCCTTTAAATGGTATCTTCTGATAATCTGATCTCAGATATAGTAGTAAACAGGAAAAAATTAAATGTACACATATCAAAACATACACTTTATAGCAATTATAAATATGTCCCCCACTTCCATTATGGAGCCCACAAAATATATTAAGCAGTGGGTGTGTTCTAGAGAACAGGGACCCAGAGGACTGAAAAATCAAAACATATTCATATGCATATCCCAGGCAAAATTCTTTGACTGCTGAAATAAAACCTGTCAAATTATTATGTCAGGCCTCTATGACAATTCTAATAACTATTCCAAGCAAACCTCTGTGTATTCTGAGTTTCATTGCAGATACCAACATCTTTGCAATCCCTATTTTCATTTGTTGGGGAAAGTGATTATAATCCTTGTAAAGGCCTCCTGAACCTCCCAGGGCATTGGATTACAGCTCCAATCAAGCCTGCCAATATGACCATATGGATGATGGGAGCTGCACTGCAGAACGTCTACATAGCACCAGTTTGGAAGTTTCCTTAAAGGTTTGAAAAAAGTCTTGAAAATGTCCACACAAAGTCCAGTGAGGCAAAGAAAGGCAGGTAGGAATTGTGCTGACCGACATCATGCCATGCATATTTGCATACAACAATAACGTATAGTTTCTCGCCTCTTTCATAGTTAGGCCAGATATGTCAATATATACAAGATTCTTCATTTGCAAAAACAAATAAATGAAGCCAAATTACCTTTCAAATGGAAATAGAAATTGTCCTACAACAGAAAGTTTATATAGGTTTATTCCTCTATATCCCTCATTAAAGGCTCCAGTGTTATTACCCAACTGCCTTACAGTTTTATCTCTAAAATAGGAATAAGAGGATAAGATTTACAAAATGTGACAAATAAGGTAATGGATTGGAAACCCTTCTGAATATGAAATAGGCTGCATAATGGTTTATAAGATAACAATAGCTTGCAAAGCACTTTGAAATGTTTGTTAATGATAGATATTAAAGGTCTTATTTCTTATATGGAATGAGATCCCTCCTGAGATCCATATGGTTCCCATACTGATGGTGTTTTGGAAGACCTTGAAGATCTAGTAGTTCTCCCAGGCCTTGGGGTAATGAAGTTGCTTCTTGGTTGTGATTGTTTTATATGTTTTTGCACTGAGTGGCCAGATTCCATCTTGTCTATTTTGTACTGTGTTTTCATCTTGTTTTACTAAATTGTAAGCCATCCAGAGATGATGCCTAAATCAAATAAAATCAATAAATAAATATTGGTATCACCTCCATGTATAAAGTACACTCCCTCAGGAGAAGTAGCTTGGCCCTCTAAAAGGGCAGTTAAAAAGCATCTCTTCAAACCTAATCTTAAAATGTTAGCATGTTTTTAAGATTTTATGTGATGATTCTGTAGATTTTAATTACGTGTATCACTTTGTTTATTCCATATTTTTATACTTATAATGTTATAAGCTACCTTGGTTGTCCTTTGGACGGAGAGGCAGGATATTAATGAACGAATTAACAAACAAACAATATTGTTTAGCTGAGAATATGCTCTAATCAATTCAACTAGACTTATTTTCAAACACATGTATAGGATTATATGGTAAGGCTACAATATCATACACATTTATTGGGAAGAAACTCCATTGAACCCACTGGGGGTTTCTATAAGTACAGCATTACACTGCTAAAATCTAGTCTAGAATTTGCTGTTTATGATCTAATGATTAAATAATACAAATTGAATGATTATAGATACCCTATTTAAATTATCCACACCAGTTAGTGAATCACAGATATATCCTTCTTCTTAGAATTGTCTTTTCAGTCATTTGGGATAAAAAATCTTACTTGAGGTCTCTCATACTATAAAGAATTCACATGACAAATGAAATATCTTCCGCATTTTTATGACTGAAAACAAACAGTTTGATTCAAGTGATAGTGGAAAGAATTTTTCGGAAGCATGCTTTACATGCAGATAATTGTGTTTCAGACAAAACCTTTTTGATCTCATAATTTTACACTGTAAAAGGAGACAATGGATAGGGACAGCCATGATTACAAGTCATATTCTTGTGAAGCCACAAGAAATGCCACCTGAACGAAACAGCACATTGGAGCATCTCCAACGGATCTCTTGGCCATCAGCCATGGATGCAAAATGGGCAAAGTTTTCTGACCCCATTAATCCAAAAATATCAAGGCACCTTCCTGCCTGCCGATCAGCAATTGTGCACACATTTCCAGGTCAAAAGGTTGGAAAAATGCTGGAAACAAAGTCAATGGCGAAGCCAAGGCAACCAGAAGTAAGGCTGCCTCTTTGCAGAAGACCAGAACAGGCTAAGCGAGAAAGACAAGAAAGGAAAGATGGGCTGTTGAGAAGATCTACAACAACCATCTGGAAGTCAAGGGCATCTACTGAGGAACCCCAAGCAAACTGAATGGAAAGACCAATACCTTGGCACATATGGTCCAGCTATTCCAAGGCCCTTCTCTGCCCGCAGAGGCCAGTCCCCCACAAGAATCAGAGTCCCAAAGCTGCCAGCTAGAAATCTCGAAGGGGCAAAAATCCTAACCATTATTTCAGATCATCTGCCTCCCGCTTGGAGAGCCCGCAGCAGCCCGTTAAGGACGCCAGAAGCTAGGCGTGGAGGAGCCGGCCACCTCTTCATAAACCGACTCACTCCACCGGCTGAGCAATCGCCAGTTCTCCCTGCAGTCTTACAGTCCCTTGCCCTCTTTCCTCCCACCTCGCCTTGCCCCTTCTCTGCTTTCTCATCCCTGGATCCCTGCAACCTTTCCCTTCCCTTCCCTTCCCCTGGATCCCTGACTTTGGGGAAACTTGCTCCACGAGTGGATGTGAGCGGCAGCAAAGAAATGACCATTTCCGAGGTTCACCTGCCGCCGAGATGCGCTCGTACCTCGAAAAGCTGAGGGATCTCCCTCCTGGCCAGATAGTCCTTGGCGTCGCAGCTGCTCATGCCGCCTGGCGGAGAAAGAGCGATGGCGCGCGACTGGAGCTGGTGCTGCTGGCTGGCGCTTCAGACCGGCTTTCCGCGGCTCTCGTTCTTCCTTCCCAGCACCAGCGCCCCGGTCCTTGTTCTTGCAAACCGTTTGCTCCTGGAAGGCAAGGCGATCACAGAGAAGCGGCAGCAGCGCCTCCGCTTCCTCGCCTGAGCTGCATTTACCCTCCCAGCCCAACCCGCGCGCCGCCAGTCAAGCTGGGGCTGCGAGTGGGCGGCTGCTGGAAAGGCGCCGGGGAGGGAGGAGACTGGCTCCAAATTGCACGCTCGCGCTTTGCTTTACACACGCGCACCCAACGGGCCGCGCCAGCGCGTCCGCACGTGGCGCTCCTTACAAAGACAGCGAGGCAGCGACTGAGGGGAACCTGGACGCCCGGGGCTTCCGACAAGGTGTGCGCTTAGATCGTGGACAGGATTCCGTACGCGAAAGCGTTTCCCCAGGCAGTTTCCCTCCTCGGCCACCACGACTGCCAGCCCTTTGCAAAGTTTACGCGCTAAGAAGCGAAGATTTCCGCAACCTCACGCCCAGGCGTTACGCACGCGTCCGATCTCAGCTTCTCCGCTCGCGCAGAGTAACGGTGTGTGCGAGGACGCCTGGATTGAAGGCGAAGGTGG